GCAAAATCATTAATAGACTTAACATAGAAACATTATACTGTAAAAACCCTATTACCGCAACAGTTGTTTTATTATTGAAAAACTTCAACAGCAAACACAGACTTTAAATTATTGTACCAGGTAGGACCTCACAGATAAGGCAAGGTAATATAAATTGTTGAAAAAAAGTCACTGAAGGGTTTGTGATGTAAATAAAGCCTAAACTAACTATGAACAGTGTTGGGTGGTAGGACATTACTAGTAATAATATTACAGTAATAATATCACTTCCCCACTAACTAGTAGTGTCAGTAATAATATTACAGTCAACTGCACAGTAACAACCTTACTTTGTTGTCACTTGAAATCCAAGATTCAGTGGCTGTAATTATTGCCATTACTTTGATTTTACCAAACAAAACTGGATTTTAACCATGGACAGCACGCGTCAAGCGACAAACTAATGAAAATAATTTGCATGATAGAATGAAAAGATTTGTCTCGTCATCAGTGTGAGCCTGGTGTGCTTTTCATTTAGCCTGTAAACGGATTCATAGGCTGCAGAAACTGCTAGTTGGAAGCCTTATGTGATAACCCTGACATTCATACAGAGCGGACGAGTAATGAGTAAGAAATTACATTTTTTAAGTAACTAGCCCAACACTAGTCATGAACTACTGTTTATTCACAAATGAAATATATATTGTATGCTTTTATAATTCAGTTTTATGGTTCAACAAAGAAAAACCTTAAATACATTACATTTCTACATATCTCTAAAGTTTGGATTTGATAATGTAAAGATCAATACCACCAACGGGACTACATTGCATCTAGAAGGCATGGACTATGATTTATTTTAGCTAATAATAACAAATACATGTGTGTGCTGCAGAGAAAACAAAAACCTAGAAATAAATCTCACTTAATGTGATGATATTGTGAAAAGAGCCTCAGTAATTCAGAAGATAAAGTGGGCAATCTGAAAAGTGAGGCTAATTTCCACAAACACACTAAAATTATATATTAGTGAGAGTCCTGAATGTCTTCTACACAATCAGACTCTCGGACAGACACTGGTACCAGCATGTAATGTCATAACAGAGACCGCTGCCATAGATGCAGCCTCTATACAACAGACTCTGCCAGATAAGATCTAACTCAGGAGGTATCTGCCCCACTTTCTATTAATAGTACAGTGACCAGAGAGGTACACATGAGCATACACATGGTCTCCCTGGACAAATGCACAGCTGCACACCACCTCAGTACACACACACACACACACACACAAACATGAAGACATATAAACATGTTTTGCTACTGCAAGAGCAATGACATGCATACACAGCTCACTTTTAGTCACACTCATTAAACAGTTAGCTTATGAAACAAACTGCTGTGAGGTCAGCAGGTTATTTATATGACTGAGGGGCTCTTTGTGACAGACTGCCATTTTTCTTTAATAAAGACAGCTACAGAAAGAGAGAGAAAATGCCATAATTACATCTTGTACAACGTGTTCTCACCTGAAGCATGAGCTCGCAGTCATCCCGGCCGACAAAGATCATTTCCCGGGGGAGTCTGTGGCGAGTCCCCCCACTGCTCACCAGGAACCAGGAGGTCACGCTCATCTTTGCAACCTGCTGCTGCCTCTGGTACACACCTATTGGGACAAAAGCATTAAGCAGGAGGTAAGCTGTAGATCAATAAACAGAGTTGGCTCCCTCGGCTGTAAAACTGCTCCATAAGGATGAAATATTTAAATGAAACTGCTACTCTTGCACATTTGTCCTCAAATCATCATGTAAACAACTATATAGGAGCCATTCTTCAAATACAACACCTGAGAATTATTCTCTGTCTCAGAATTGCTGATAGTATATCATATAAACAACTTGCATCTACAAAACACCTGAAACAGTTACAGATAAATTACAATAAAGTCAAATGTTTACATAGCGTTTTTTAAAACACAGAAAATAATTCACTTTGGTGACCAGATTAGCAGATATTGTGGTGTTCAAGGAGACTAACACATTCCACCTTGTAATATGTAAAAACATTATTAAATAATAGTGTTTTTAGAAGAGAGCAAATCTTAATATTTACAAATATGGCCCTAAGGTTGGAAGACCATTCTGTTGTCTTATCTCAGTGTCAAGACTAAGACAACTAAACTTAAACTAAGTTGTTTTAATGCTGGAAAGTAGTCCATTCAATTACACACCTCTGGTCCAGGTAGCTCACTGCTGATAGACTGCAGACAACACAACACAGCTAGGCCATCCTGAGACAGGAAAAAGAGGAGAGAAAATAAGTGTTTTTTCTTGTTTCTTCAATTATTCACAGATTTATTACTTACAGAAGCAGACAAGTAAATAAAATGTGATTCTTTGCAGCATGACATAAAAAGCTGTATGAAAGCAATAAAGGAACGCAGTCGAGTCACAGGTAAAGTGGAAACACTGGTAGAGATACACTGAGTCGAATGAATCCATCTTGCTTCGTTTTGTTTTGCTAGTAGGGGGAATGAGGTTGAGTGGGCGGTCTTGCAATGTGATGCCTCACTGTCCGCGCCTGGAAATGAACACTAAGCCAGCCAGTAAGATGCATCCTCTCTTTCTCTCTGCTTGCCCTGATCATTGCCAGATGTTAGAAGAGGAAGTGATGTAGGAATGTTGGCTGGCCTCCGCAGCAGGACATTTATTTTCCCTCCTGCTTAAGTCCTCCCCTCGATCTCCTTCAGACGAGCTGGAGAAAAGGAGGTCAGAGCCACTCTAACGTTCTAACTGCCGCGGCCTGAAGGAGAAACAACTTTAAGCAGTTCGAACTGATGAACTTGTTATCTGTATGGCTGTCTGATAACTGAGCATGTTACAAGTTTGGTTCAGTGTTTGATTGAGTTACTGCTGGATGAGCAACTGGCTGCAAAATTTAGCAGGCAAAAATACCTTTTCATAATTGAATTCTTCACACTGTCACGAGACGACAACAACGCAGAGTGGCGCCTCTCTCCGAGTGAAGTGTAGAATCTGCTGCCTCTGTTATGAAACTCATTTTAAAAGACTGCTGCGTTTGGTTCCACCTTAATGTTAATAAAGGTTTGAGCAGGTTTATACAGTTTTAATGTTTTTCATAATTATTTATTTAAAAATTAAACAGTCTTCAAAGAGAAGCTTTTCATGGTGATTTCCAGAGGTGCTAAAATAACAGGAGCGCTGTCATGTGTAGAAAGTGCCAAGAAAAGCCCATCAGAGAGGGAATTAAAGATTACTGAGCTAAGCTCCTGCTCGCTTGACCTCATAAGTACTCGGTATACCAACTCAATAATCCCATGGGTAAAATTTTAATCAACTGCACACCTCTGACAGTTGTTGCACGATGCTGTTGGGATGTGACTGCACCAAAGCAACAGCTGCCTCTGAAGTAAACGGGATCAGCTTTTCATCACAACAACAGCTCAGGATATCTAACCATTGTCTGTGATATGTGACACATTTAATGAGGACATTTTAGACAGTTGTAAAGTACGGCCATTTGAGTATCTCCTGTGTATTTTAACAGCTTTTTATATCAGCTTTACCTTTATGCTGTTGTTTAGTGTCAAACAGTTAATATGTGGACAAAGAGAGAAAGATCTGCGACAAGGGACATTGATAAGATCGGTTATGTCCAAAATTGACCAGACTTATGTAAACGCTGTGGATCCTCATAACAAATTATCCAAGTACAAAAATAAGCCTCTATTATATTAAATCCCAATAAACAATAACTATAACATAAAACTCACTCAAACCTTAACTGAATTAAAATGTCCTAACTTTAACCAAAATACTTTTCAGCATCTTTCACCGAAATAACTCAAAATGTAACTTCATTTGGGGGAAAGACGGACTCCAGGGGAAGAACAATGCCAGATTTGATTTCCTTAAATCCAATCAAACCATCTAACCGTCACTGGTCAGATTCCAGCTCAGCATCTCCTGCTTACACGTGGTGCCATGGTAACACTGCAGTCATACGATCACTATATGTTCAACAGATATTGTATTTGGAGGCGACGCTGGAACAACACACTATGCATATTATCAGAGAAAGCCTATAAAGAACAGCAGCAGCACTGCCATTACACTGTAATTATGTGTGGTTTCC